GTCTTCCAGTGCGAATACCTCTTTTTGGGTGATATTGTATTACTTGGAACCGCAAAAAAATAGATCGACTCCAATGTGACCCACTTTCGGGCCTTGTATGTTCTGCTAGAAACCACCTTCGGACACGAGTTTGTGGAGCTGTCTTGCTATCTGTCCAGAAGAAACAACGACAGATGAACAGTAGATAACTCTTCATCGGATATAGACACGCTTCTGCCATCCATCGCAACTTGTTATCTTCCCATCTGTCCACATCTTTCCTCTCTACGACTGGTAGCATAATGAAAGAGAACAAGGGTGTCAGGTTCTTCTAGTGACACGATTCTATAAATTCGCATCACAGGTACCTTGAGAGCGGACCATTCGGTAAAAAAAAGCTTGATGCCTACTTCTCCTCTATATTGAAATGAGCAGTTATTTTTTATGGACTTACTTATAGACTTTCAGACTAATATTCACTAAAGACTTGCTCGACTTAAAGCAACAGTCCCAGCAGGGTGGGCGTGGTCGGAAACGGCTGCAATCCCCTCGGCCGATTCCCACTTCGGAGCTGTTCAGCCCCTAGTCAAGAACGTAAGAAGTGTGACTGAACAAAAACTCACCTTGGAAAGCCGCTAGGGAGGGAGCTGAAGTGGGCGTGGTCGGAATCGGCCGAGGGGATTGCAGTCGTTTCCGACCACGCCCACCCTGCTGGGACTGTTGCTTTAAGGGCACGTGCGAAACGGAGACTAAACTTATGGTCGAGACTTCAGAAGCACTCCAGGCACGATGTTGGCTTGATTCCCGTACACGAAAATGAAAGCGGAGGTGCAAAGCAGATCGGCAGTGAACTGAACAGGAAAGAAATGTCCGGCCGAATATAACATTAAAATTAGGGGCCCTTTTTGCAGTGTAACTCGGATTGTGCTATCCATTACAGGAGAAGACACTGTGCGCGAAGGAGAGAGGATAGGGACTGTGCTAACCGTTAGAAGACACTGCGCAAGAAAGAGAGGGCGTAGACGCACTACATGTTTCGAACAAAAAGCAGCCGAAGCGGTCATGACAAGGCACTAACGTCCTTGCTGCGCATTTTCCAGCCACGAGAACAACACATCTGCTAAATTATGGACACCTTTATCCTACCTATCAAAGGTATTGCTTTACCTAAACTTATCATGTACTTTGGAGGCCGACCATTCAACAAACCAGCCGTCTGTTCCTGCAGCTTTGATTAAT